ATAAGAGACAGAATTTCCCCTATGAGAAAAAAAATGGGCGTGGTAGAACGTCGCTTTAAATGCCTCGAAAGTGGTCTAGGGGAGAAACCTCTCGAAATTTTGACAATTTTGGGGATTCAGAGGCTTGTTTAATGGATTTTAGAGTCTATTAATATCTACAAAATACTTTTTTTATCCCCCACGAATTGTGGTTTCTCTTCCCAATGAGAAGAGCCTGCCCCCCACCCCCACTGGCGCCACCCCTGTAAACGTTTCTGTCTGCTGTTGAAAACAAACTTCCTAAATTTGTGACTGGCTATGATGACTGAGAAGGACCATGTTGATTTATTAATAATATTTTGTTTGGGATGGAAAAAAGGAGAGTCTATTTCTCAAAAATGCTCCATCAGCAAATAGTTTAGTGTGCGCTATGGACAGTATGGCTATGGTATTTACTTAACACACAATCCACAATCAGGTCGCAAAACTTTAGCTGCATTTGGTGGATTAAGTCGCAAAACTTTAGCTTCGTTTGGTGGCGCCATTTACTCTAGGTAGACGGTGACCGGTTTTGTTACCGGTTGGTACATTTATTTGCAAACATTCAGCCAAAGGCCAGTGAAAGTTAAGACGGCAGCCGGATTTTTATCGATGTTTGCCGTCCTTAATTTCGGAAGCTGAGATATTCTGTGAATGTAGGCTTGTATCGCAGGCTACAATTTACGGGTGACCAAATAATTAATTTGGTCCTAAATTTTTATTTAATGCTGGGTAAGTTAAAAACAGACATTCCGTCCGAATGGGATTCATTCAAAAATTTGAGGGGTTCACTAGAAAACGGGGTTCGCTAGAAAAGGGGGGTTCGCCCGAACCATAAAAAAAAATTAGGAACGACAAAAGACTTAAAATAATTATTTAAATATAATAAATGATAATAATTTACAGTAAGTAAAATAGACAACAGGCAGTGGAAGACTGAAAATTGAGTACTTTGTTTTGTGGAGAAAATTCCTTTATTACCTACCATCTTCAATTTTATTATGTAGGAAAAAAAATATATAACCATACGTCATATTCACATGTCTATAATGTACTTCACTGTATCCAACTTTTTGTTTGGTTATACAGGAGTTAGTACTTTGCTGGTGGTTAATAATTGTGTTAATCTTTAGCTGTGTTACTTCCAAGTAAACATGCTTAAATGTATTATCCTCTTTGACCATCAGTGATTTTCAAAAAAGTAAACAAATTACGACTAGAGTGGCAGATGACTTCAAGAGTATGGTGAGCCCACAATGTTGTACTATCCAAATATCCTTATTTATAAGCATTTTCATCATGGTTTTATTTATTACAAACATATTCTTTCCCCATCAATACACATTGAGGCCCTTCTTTTCGGTTAAAACGACCTATCTTAAATTTGTCTTTCTTGACTTTGGGACTATTAAGCGTTTAAATAACTTAAAAGGATAAACCTAAAAAAGCCCTACAAAATGCGCGCGGAGCATGTTTGTTTTTAATTCTACATTCGTCGAAATTGATGAAAACTCCCTAAAATGTGCAATTTATAGAGGAAATTGGCCTACCGTAACAAGAAATGCGCCCAAAGAATTTGAGAATTTTAGGCACTTTCAGAGGATGCATTTGTCAAGGGGTGGGTTTAGATTTTCCAAAGATGGATATTTTCTTCTTGTCCCCCGGTGTTTTTAATTCTAATTTCGTTGGAATTGATCAAAACTCCCTAAAATGTGCAATTCTTAGAGGAAATTGGCCCATGTTAACAAGAAATGCACGCGAAGCGCGCGAAATTTGAGGTTTTTAGGCACTTTCAGGGGATGAAAAGGGCAATTATAAAGGAGTGATTTTTCAAAGATAGATATTTTCCCCTTGTCCTCCAGTGGTTACGCCATCGGGCAGCTTAGATCAAAGGAGTTATGACAGTTTTTGAAGTGGAGAAGGGGTTGCAGGGTGTTGTGAGTCTGGTCATTATGATATCTTCCTTTTTATTCCTGTCTTTGTTTTTCTCTTCTCTTTTTCTTTTTCTTTTCCTTTTCTTTTCCTCTTCTTTCTCTTTCCCTCCCTCTCCCCTCTTTCTTTTCTCTTACTACCAAGCCCGGTACGACGGCTTGGTCAGCCCGGTAAAAACCGTCAGGGGAGGGGAATTTTCCACCTCCCCACCCCCACGCCTGTTACGACACTGGCTAACACGCCAATCATCCCCCCAATGAAAAATACTTTTCTACGCCACTGTATTTTTTAAGGGGGAAGGGGTGGTCCCCTCTCTTTTTGTGAGTCAAGAAGATATGCCTGAAAATTGTTGACATAAATGCATAAATGACCCATATGATGATGAATTTTACTATATAAGGGTGTCATATCTGGCAACCTAGAGGTACATACCAGGTTTTAACGAAAGAACGCTGTACAGCCAGAGAATATCTTACTTTATAGCAACATACCTAGTTGTATCTCTGCCCACAAGCATCTGAATTACCTATAATAGTCGACTCGAGTGCGCGTGCCTTTATTTTTGAGAACTATGAGAAAAAACGTGCGAAGATAAGATAGGGTTTTGCGGCACATGAATTATTATTTTTTATGGTACATCACAGCGATTAATTAGATCGATGATGATGAATTTTACTATATAAGGGTGTCATATCTGGCAACCTAGAGGTACACAAATCGAAAGGTTCACTGATAAACCTCGGATAAGATACATACTCCAAGTATGTAGGCCTATTATACTATAAAGGTACAATTTCCCCAAATGTTACCACCTCAGCCAAAACTGTGGTACATGGTGGAGCTGAGAGACGCGAGGACTCATAGTTTTGAAGTAAGGAAAGTAAATATATCAAAGACAATGTTTTTAAGTTTATTTTCTATGGTAGCGTACATCACACACACTCATGGTTGCCGAAAATAGCAGATGAAAGATCATGAGAATTTGTTGGCGCTTCATTTTGACTGTATTATAATGGTAATGTGATGATGGTGAATTTTACTATTTAAAAGTGCCATTTGCGGCACGAATTTCGTCACCAATTTCGTTTTTTTTCTGGTGGATTTTAGACAGTTAAAACATCAAAATAAAGCCTGATAACATGCAAAAAAAAATCATTCCGCTAGCTTTGACGATCATGCGATCGTGATGTGAAGTTTCCCAATGTTTTTTATTGCGCGCGAATTTGGCTCACCGGCATTTTCGACACATTTTAAATCGCGCTTACTCATCAAATATTCAATCAATCTTATTAAAAAACACGTGTATGTAAACACTACAACATGTTTTTTTCAATATGTAAATTTTATTGGCAAAAATTCACAATGAGTATAATATTTTCAACATTAAAATCATGTCATTTTTTTCAAATCCCACGAATTTTTAAAAACTGTACATGCTCAAAATGGCTTCATTTAACCCTCATAAACAAATATGAACATGGTGGTATAAAAGCACCCTACTTCAGGTCTCAAGTGCAATCTTTCAACATATCATGGGCTAGACGTCTTTTCAATGATGAAACGTCTAAGTGGAAATTTATTGCCATCTATGTATTTTAACAGAGTTGGCCCGCAATATGTTATTGAAAATATGTCACACTTAAATGTAAAAAAATGTGAAGGTATTCCTAGTTTTTATATAGGTGTATTAAAGGCGTTAACTAGTTTTAACGAAATGATAATGAAGTACCCAACATGTTACAATGAAATACTTGTTTTGTTCAACATTTGGGGGAATAAATGATGACTTACAATGTTCTATCACTATTGTATAGAAACTCGGTAAGGTCAGGTATAAGAAAAATCAAAGATATTGTGCTTGGAAATAGATTTATTCAATCGAACGAATTATTAGAAAAGTTATCTACTAAATCAAATTGGATATCAGAATATCATATTGTGTTAAAGGCCATTGCACATGAATGGAAGGATGTGATTTTTTCACAAAATGAGAATGCAGAGCAAGAGAAACCTTTGCTTGTTACAAAACTGTGTAACAAAAAATGCAAACAAACGTATAATAGTTTTGTCGAAAGAAGATGTATAGAACCGAAATGTCAATTAATATGGGAATCATATTTAATACTACAGTTGATTGGATGTTAACCTGGAAAAGAAAAGTAAAAATGATTAGAGAAAACAAACTCAAACACGTAAATTTTAAATTATTACATAGAATTATTCCCACTAGGAAAAGATTATGTATATGGAAAATTCTAATCTCAAACACATGCTTACAATGCAACCGTGTTGAGGATGATGCACATTTATTTTATGGATCTGCAGAAGCCAGTAATCTATGGCGTTACATTAACGAACTTACCTCAAAGAATTACAATATTGAGGCAAACTTTAAAAACATAGTACTTGGTACTGGGAATTCGTATGTAGACAGTTTGTTTTCATTAGGTTTATTTTGCATATATAAAGCAAATGTGTTAAAACAAATTAATAAATGGAAATTTACCTCAGTCTATCAAC